GAGGACATGCTACCCAACTGTAGAGGAGCATTTTCTTGAATGGAGAGTTGACCTAGCAGGACCTGACACCTAGGCATGTGTGTTTGGCTCTGGCTGTAGAGGACAGGAATCCTAGTAGCACCTGACACCTAGCAATTTGGGTGTGGGTTCAATTTAAGTGTATGGACACCTTACAGATGATGATACCTAGTCTTCCTGACAAAGAAAAAGCTTGGCTTCTCGATACATTAAAAATTAAGTCAAATTCTTCCCCCAGACCTATATTTGTCAAGTTCCATATATCTTGTTTTATACCCTTATTCTACAAAATCCTTCAAGTACATATCTTGAAAATACATTCTGATCAACTTCATTAACACCATACTGACCCTGGAGTTCTATCTACCTAGTCACTGACTGCTCTCTCTAGACAATGCAGCACACTTTCTGAACAATCACCACAAGTAGAAGTACACACACACACACACACACACACACACACACACACACACACAAATTTTCCTCATAACATCATCAACTTTATCACAGCTCCATGCACACTACTATTGAACATGACTGGCTGGAAACCAACAGGTATCCTACATAGCCTGCTAGATGTCATATCCTAAGGAATCTAGACACCTCGCAACAGATGTCAGCCAGCACACACTGTTGTGCTCATAAGACACACTGCAGGCCATCCCCCTGCTTCTCCCACAAAGACTCATTCCCCTATGAGGAACTGCCCTGTGACAGGACTTACTATCTACTGCCCCCCAGGCCTGCTTCCAACCCACCCATGTACCACTAGTTACCAGGCCCTGCTGGACACTCCTACCCCTGCCACACAGCCTGAAACACACTGCTTGGTTTCAGGCTTTGCTGGACACCTGTCTGAGGCCTGGGTGCCCTACTCTGTATCTCATCTCAGGACTCCCCAGTCCCAACCAGGTATTGTGCATGATAACAGGCCTCATCTAGTGAGTTTCTCTTCCTGCACCCAACCTGCTGCCGCAAAAGCCCTGCTAGTTTTCAGCCCTGTTTACACCCAGCCACTGTCTAGTAGTGTGTGGTGTCAGCAGAATGGTGCTATTTTGGGTAAGGCTTGAAGCCAGTTATTGTATATGCATGCAATATACTTCAATACACATGACTGCAATCTGCACAGAGTGGTGTGTCTTTCATATGTCATTGATGGAGGTGCCTAGCAGAGCCTTTAAAATTGCAGTGTTCATTGGGTCAGTAGTATATATGGAGGGTTAGGATGGGTGTCAACCTTCTCTGATACCTAGCATGTCATATGTGATGGAACCTGGTGTTCAAGTGAACATGACACACAGAACTCTATTTGCACTGTGGTGTGGACAGGGGTTAATGTCCAGTATGGCCCAGTAACTAGCAGTACAGCCTGAGACACAGCACATTGTACAGCATAGGAAGGAGTCCAGTAGAAGCTGATGCCTAGCAGTGTGGGTGTGTCTTCCACAGAAGGATGTCCAGCAATGGAATTTCTAGGTATCATGCAAGACCTACAGGGGGAGAAGTTCCCAGCCTGGTCTGGTGGCTGTCGATTAATGTGGCGTATGAGGTCAAAGTGCAACTGATGTTTGGATGTGTAGTCACAGGGGTGGTGGTTTGATAACACTGTGTGTCAGAGAGAGCAGCGGAATTACAGAGTGTAAGCTCTGCACAATCCCTACGTTGTATGTGTTAGCTTATAACTGAGCTGGTGTCTGACAAGGTCTGATCATTCATTTTGAAGTAGATTGGCAGTGTGCTATGTGATGTCCAAGTGTGCTTGACACTTAAGAGTGTGTGTGA